ATTTTAATGAATTATGTTCTTAAAATTTTATTAGTGTTCTCAGAGAACATTGAGAACATTGAATTTCACACACTGGTGGGCACTAACACCTAGCATGATTTAAACTGTCATGATCTCAAATGATAACAATAACTTATCAATTCACCAGGTATAAAAAAATATAATTAGATTTTGACGCTATGATTAAATCACAGTAACTTAAAAATAAGTTAAAATGTTCAATACTCGCTATGCTAGTTTAATCAACAGATACTTTCTATATCGACATAAAATAATACCTATTCTCTTTTATATGATTACTCCCTTTATATTAAATGCATTTTTATCAAAGGTAACTAAAATCCTTTACTTAACATTTATCGAATATCAGATTAACTATTGTCATAGGATGACAATCTATATACTAATATCAAATCTTTCTATTTATAGGTAAATGATATATTGGGTTGCTTATTCAATAGATGTAATAAAATTTGCTCCTCACTCAATTAGTTAGAAATTGAATAAACTAACCAAGTGAGTTTATTATTTCGATGAATAAAATTTGAAGTTTAAAATCCATCTTTTTTTTCATAAAGTTGCTCTATTGACTAAGTTTATTTCGCACAACAAATTTTTAACAAGTCGTTCTTCGATTAACCGCATTAATCATTCAATTAATCACAATTATTTGAGCAAATCTCTATGCTGATTATATTAAGGAGCTGAGAACATCCTGAGTCTGATTTGAAATTTATATCAAATTACGAGTTCATTCGAGTGCCGCCAAGTCATCAAGATTTCAAGTTTATTGCTTATCCGACTCAACCTACCTGATTTGTTAGAGATTTTGTCCGGCACAAAATATAAAGCCTAATACAGTTTTTCCCTTAACAGCACTCATTTATGAAATAATTCATTTAGTTTGGAACTTAAGACCTTTATTTATTATAGTACCGTATTTATTGTTTAAAAAGAAAAAAAAAAACAACAAAAATGATACAAAAATGATAATGAAAATTCTTATAATACTATATATGTGGAGTTATATAATAATAGTGTACACTAATTTACTTATATATATTTTCGTATGAAATAAGTAAACAATAGTAATTCCATATAAATATTTAATAAAAAGAAAAAATTTTAATTTTATTCGCTAACTTTTTTTTCAACTTCTTCAAGTCTTTTCTCTAGTTTGTGTATTGCATCGATGATCAAGCCATAAGGCCTAAAGCTTGCTTTGTAAAAATCATCAACTACTTCTAACATATCAAAGTACTTGTCAGCAGATACAGGACTAAGAATACCGGGCTCTTCCGAAAGAGTTTTGGTAACAATTGGAG